GGGTCAAGATATAACTTAAAATAATTTTTTAAAAGTTTTTAAAAATCATTTTTGTGTGTGTTAACGATTTTGGTGCCTTATCAGAGTTTTGGGGGATGGAGGGGAGGAACGGTCAAGGTTTATATGCAGCCCAGACAGTGTGGCTCAGTGGTTGACCATTGACCCAGGAACCAAGTCACTAGGTCAGTGATGGCGAACCTATGACATGCGTGTCAGAGGTGACACACGAACTCACTTTTTTGGTTGATTTTTCTTTGTTAAATGGCATTTAAATATATAAAATAAATATCAAAAATATAAGTCTTTGTTTTACCATGGTTGCAAAGATCAAAAAATTTCTATATGTGACACGGCATCAGAGTTAAGTTAGGGTTTTTCAAAATGCTGACACGCCGAGCTCAAAAGGTTCGCCGTCACTGCTAGTTGATTTTGGTCAGGTTGCAAGCTTGATCCCCAGTAGGGGGGTGTGTGAGAGGCAGCTGATCAATGATGTTCCTCTCTCATCATATAATGTTTCTATTTATCTATCCCTCTCCCTTCCTCTATCTCTAAAAATTAATAAAAAAACATATTTAAAGATTCATACTCAAAACATTTTGTTTTTGCCACTCTGACTTTTTGCTGTTGTTAACCCTCCCCAGAGGGTATAGCTTTCATTGATTCAAAAGAGAGAAGCGGAGAGCAAAGGGGGAGAGAGAGAGAGAAAGGAACACGGATTGGTTGCCTCCAGTACTCACCCTGACCCAGGATCGAACCCAAAACCTGGGTATGTGCCCCGTCTGGGAGTTGAGCCTGACCCTTCGGGGCACACGATGCCGCTCTGACCAACTGAGACACCAGCCAGGGCTGTTTAACTTGGGGGGATGTCTGTTTTCCATAGCAGCTGCGCCGTTTCCCATTCTCATCAGCAACGTGTGAAAGCTCCAGTTTCTCTACATCCTCGTTAACTTGTTCTATTATTAATTATTAGTAGCCCAGTGCACAAAATTCGTGCAAGAATAGGCCTTCCTTCCCGCGGCTGCCGGCACCGGCTTCCCTCTGGCACCCGGGACCTAGGCTTCCCTTGCAGCCCTGGCTTCGCTTGGAAGGTCGTCTGGTCTAATTAGCATGTTATGCTTTTATTATTATAGATTATTATTATTTATAGTCATGCTAGTGGGTGTGACATATCTTGTTGTGGCTTTAACTAGCATGTCCCTAGTGCCCAATGATATTGAGCATATTTTCATGAGGCTGTGCCCATTTATATATTTTCTATGGAGAAATGCCTGTTCAAGTCCTTTGACCAATTTTTAATCGAGTAATATTTTTGTTGAATTGTAACATTTCTTTTTATATTATGGGTACTAGACCCTTATCTGACATATGATTTGTAAATATTTTCTCCCATTTTTGTGGGTAGCCTTTTCACTTTCTCAATAATGTCCACGAGTTCATATGTGTAGGAAATAAAAGACACAGCTCTTTCATTAAAAAAAAAACTGAACAAATATGGGCGACCATCCCTGGGAAGTTTGGTTGTCACTATTTTATGTTATTTCTGAGTGAACCGCGACAAGATTGTCTCAGTGTGTTACTTTCGCAAGTTGGTAAATGGAAAGTGAAACTTTCCCATCATTACTTCATGTTATTCTGGCACTTGTTGACGTGCAGGCCGTTGGGAGTGGAATGCACACCCCGGGGAGGAGGCCTGGTGTCCACCCTGGGCCTCTCCTCGCAGGTGGGTGGCCAGTCCCTCCGCGGATCCCTTATTGTTCTCCTTCCGCTTTGTTCCTGCCACTGGCTCCCAGGCGAGCCTTTGGGAAACG